AATATGCATATGAAGTCGATATGGAACAGAAACGGAGACATTGTTATTAGATGGTCTGGGTGACCACCAATCACGAGTATAGGGGCCATAGTGTAGTTCTGAATATATTTTGCCTTCCGCAAGTAAACTAACACTTTTATAAGTCGAATTATTCATAGTTTATTACATATGTAAGAATCAGTTTTGGCATTTACAACCGTGAATTTTATTTTAATTAAATGCGCATCACGATTTCTTATGTGATGTCGATCATTTTACATCGTTGGGTAACGAATTAGCAATTAAAAAGAAAAGACTCAGTAAAATCACAGAAAAAAAAAATATCTCAAATATTTATTGAAAACCCAAAAGAAAGAACACCAGAAAACTCTATCCAAATATTTGATAAAATATCTGAATAACTAATAGAAATAAAAAATAAAAATTTTATCTTGCTACTATCTTCATTAATTTATCTACCTGAATATAACTATAAAAATAAGAGTATAGAAGCCAAATTTTAAATCTACTACTGAGTGTTCAAAAATAGTATAATCTAAAAACAGAAACAGAATACTATGAACAAGAAATTGTTGCAAATAAATCTTTTAATATACTATAACAACATTTTGGTACTATCAGAAACAACCTCTATATTAAATATAAAACATCAACTAACTATTAAAGCCAAATTATTTCAAAACCATTTGAAAAACTTATAGTAAGAATAATAGCAACAGAATCAGAATACTTTGCTAGAGTATCAAATATATTACAAAGCAATATATTTATTTTCTTTAATAAAGAAGCACAACCTTATTTATAACTATAAGAAGAAATTACAAAAATAGAACACTTTGTAGTAAATCTAACCTCAGAAGAACTATACCAAATATTAGTCCACCAAGAAACCTTCATTGAAAATAAAAACTTAAAGAAAATAACAGAAATGAAAGTGTTATTAAAAATAAAAATTTTTATATTATTACTTTATTTGATACCTTTAATTAGACACCTAATGAAGCAGAAGCTCATATTTGGCATGAATTCTCATACATGCAAGAAAACAATTTAGTATATTATAAATAAAAAATAAGTACAAAAAGAAACTTAAAAAGAAATTAAGATGTACAATGACAATATTTCAAAGAATTAATTAAACACTCTAATTCAGAAAAACTAGAATAGTAGAAATATATTGAAGAATAGATAAAAAAAAATATTATATATATTAAAGAAATTTATAAAAATAGATTTAGTAAAATTAGAGAACTAATTAAACTAGCAAAAAAAACACTAAATGGGAATTAAAGAAAAATTACAAGAAAACCTGAATAATACTACAAGAAGTAATAGAAAAGAAAGATATAAACTTATTCTCTTATACCTATTATTTAGAACGATATACCAGAACAAAAATGGTAACCCTACTATAAAGTAGTAGAAAGTTGTAGAACTAAGAATAAAGGCCAAACAATATAAGTAGAGTAATAGCCCAACACCACCCAAAGAAAAAGCTATCAAATTGATAAAGAAATATCATCAAGAAATATTTATATTGTGAACTTCAGAAATTGCTACAAGCCTCTATCAACTAATTCTTGAAGATCTAGTAGAAGAAAAATAAGCATTAGCTAAAGAATTAAAATTACCACAATATTTGCAAGAATATAAATATTCAATTTTCAAAGTTTAGCAAAAAAGAATCACAGAATTTAAACAATTTAGTAAAGATTATACAGAAGCATATAAAGAATGGATAGAAGCAGTAGAAGAGCTATTACAGTATTAATAAATCCTAAAGAAACAAATAAATCAACAACAGAAGTATAATTTTATATTTTACAACCTAATCATGATAGGATCTAAACTTCAATACCAATACTGCTCAACTTGCCAAAAATACAAAAACTATCCTGAAGATTTTAAAAGAGAAAAATAAATAAATTAAACTTGTATACATTATAAAGATAAAAGAGCTCAAAAACCAGAATATCGAAGAGAATACCAAATACAAAGAAATAATTAAAAAAAAATATTAGAAATCAACCTTCAAAGATAAAGTGCATCCCATTCACCAAAACAATTCAAATTCAATACCTGGCCTATATGGCACACACTTCTCAATATCCTCAAAGCCTACAATATCCAACTCTTCTTCCACAAAGTTCAAGCCCATTCTGACAACCCTTTTAATAATCTCACAGACTTACTAGCAAATAACTACTCTACCTCACCAATTCTATACTTTAATTATATTAATCTTTATAACCCATTCTCTATCTTGCAATGGAACAACAGTGTTATCAAAAGCCCTACTAGACAATTTATTAAATCAATTCGAAAAGCCCAGAATATCACTCTATAGTCCTTACAATATCGTGCCTATGAATAGTCTTACTTCTCTCATCTAATCAACTGGAAAGCCTCTTGGCTATACTTTAACAACAATCAAAAAATATCTCACAACTTTATCAACCCTAAATTAAACCATCTAAAATCTTTTAAAATCAAAATGTTTCTTAATATTCTTTTAATACATGCATATTTTCACTCTATTTACCCTTTTATATTTATATCTTCTAATTGTTCCTATGCAACTAGCCCAATACCCCCTCTCACTAGTACTTCTGTCTTGACAATATACTCTTAACCCAAACTATTAACACCTCAATTTATGATATCATCTCCAACACTAACCTCAACCTTATGACATACCAACTAAATAATCTAATATATACTATTACTTCACACCTTTCCTTCAACTTCTTTTCATCACAGCTATACCCTTATACTCTTGATTTCACACTTAAAGATCTCATACCTACTGCTCTAATCCAATCTCTAGACCCCTTTGAAATTTCTTACTTCCAAGCCTCCCAACTTATTATCAAAATACTTTTAAAAATTTCTGATCAACTCTATAACAATATCTGGATCCCCTATTGCTCCAACTTATCGCACTAAAAAAAAGTTCATCAAATTCCATTACATATCAATACTATATCTTAGCCCTCTCTACTTTCTAGAAACCACAGAAACAGAATTATCTATATATACAGTTGCTTCTGTGGCTATACCGACCAGCTACACTCTAACTCTAACACATGCTCTCTATTAGGACAAGCCTTTTTTAAGTATAATATTTGGTCTACTATGTGGATTAAATATAGCATACCTATTAATCATATTTTAACTATTCAAATTTAGGTGAGTCTTGACCACTCTAGTAGGTTTAGGTCACAGATAAATCAGTCTGAGCTTCTATTCTTGCATATAATTTATATTTATTTGTTTGTATACAAATTAAGTCTTTATATAGTCTTTATGTAATTACTTATATAAATTATCTAATAAAGATATGAGCAAGGCCTCACCTTAAAACCAAAAAAAAAAAAAAGATAAAGTGCTCAAGCTGCAGAGTTATTAAATCAAAAAAAGCATTTGGAGAAAAACAAACAGGAATACCCTACTAAACTTGCAAAAAGTGCAGAACTGCAAGTGTGAACTCAGAATACAATTCTGAATGATACTAAACAGACTTACAATTAACTAGTAAAAGACAAGCCATTATTAACCAAATAAATAGAAAATATATGAAGCATCACAACAAGAATATCAAAAAGTGTACCAAGTGCAAAACACTCAAGAAAACATATACAATTCTCAATAAATCAGGAAAAATAAGTAAAACCTGTAATAGATGTAAACTAGTGCTCAACACAATCAAACAAAAATTTGACAGTCAAATACTTAGTAATACTTGTGATTAAGTCAGATATCAAATGATTGCAGATTAACCAATAGTATATATTTAGCTTTGGTTAATCTGCAATTGTTTGATATCTGATTTAAATATAAGTATTAACAAGTATTTGTCTGTCAAATTTTTGGTTAATTGTGCCAAGCACTAATGTAAACTAAGAATTAAACAATAAAAACAACAAAGATCTGTAGAAATTATAAATAATAACAAAACCTTTTCCTAATTATCTTATTAGCTGTGTTATCTGCTTAAGAGAAAAACCTCTAGAAGCATTTGTTAAAGATTATAGAAAACTTAAATCTTGCCAAGAGTACAGAATTAAGTATTATTAAAACTATAACTCTTCAAAACCAATTTCAGAAACCAATAATAAAAAGAAACACTATCCAAAGTGTAAAAGATACCTTACAAAGAAATACTTTGAAAAGAAAATTAAAATACCAATAGTGTAATAGAACTACAATGCTGTTATTAGTACTGATAGATCATCTTGACCAATAAAATTTTGAACAATTATATAATGTTGCTACAGATGATGTGTAATCTCTATAATTTATGTTAAACCAATATAAAAATAGGAATCTTATAACAAACCAGTTTAACATAAATTATAAATGCCGCCTTAACTACTTTTTTAGTAAATTCTTTTTCTCTAAAAAAAAAAAAATTTGATAGCATATTTATCAAAGACTTTATTTAATTAATTCATTTTAAATTAGATTTTTAATTAAAACTTTTTTAATTAACTCTTTAAAAAATGATAAAAAAAAAAAAAAAAAAATATTAAAATAATGAATCTGCTGCTTTAGTGGCCCCTTTAAATTTGATAATCAGTGCTTTTGCATTCTCTTTTAAGCAATAATTTTGTGCCTCTCTAATTTTTTCATGTAACGTTTTTTGAATAATGCCAAAAAGAACAACCTTAATGGATACACAAAAATTTGAATTCTGTGTCTACACCCGTGATAATAAGAGAACCCACCCAGAATATGTGAAGTGGATTAAAGACAAATGGAGGGTTAAAATTAATGAGTCTACGGTCACTCGAATCTTACAAACTAAGGACCAACGACTTTCAAATGAAATCGTAAATCCAGATGCCAAGTGACATAGAACCATTACTGTACTAGAGCTTGAGCTAGCACTCAAGGAATTTATACTAATCTATCAACACCGCACTATTCTAAGCGATGCTATGATAATTAAAAAGACAAAATTGTTAGCAGATGAACTAGGAGTCCCTGAAGATAAGTTATATTTTTCTTCCAGGTGGCTCCAAAAATTTAAAGAGTGAAATGGAATCTGTCAGATAAAGCTTCATGAAGAAGCAGGTTCTGTTGATGAGGATATTATTACTGAATCCTTATCTTTATTGCAAAGTAAATGCTCTGAATACCCTCTTGACCACATATATAACATGGATGAAACCAGACTTTTTTACTGGTGGTTTTTTTTTTCTTTGATAAAATTTTTTTTCATCTTTTTTTTTTTTTAATAAAAAAATTTCTTTTTAGATTGGAACCGGATCGAACCTTAGTGACTCGGTGAATTGCAGGGTGCAAAAAAAATAAGAAATGTATTTTTGTAGTGTTATGTGCGAATGCTGATAGATCTCATAAGTTGGCCCCTCTTATAATTGGCAAATATGCCAAACCCAGATGTTTCAAAAATGTGAAAATTAATAATTTGCCCATGACATATAGGAGCAATGCTAAGGCTTGAATGCTTGTGATTCTTTTTCAAGAGTGGCTTTAGGATTTCGACCACCAAATGTTGCAGAAGCATAGGGGCCAGCATGTTCTTTTACTTCTTGATAATTGTTCTAGCATAAATTAGACAGGTTAACTCTCCAGTATGTAGATGTACATTTTTTGCCCAAAAATACAACTTCTAGGATACAACCAATAGACGCAGGAATAATCATAGCTTTTAAAAGAGCCTATTATCATTTTCATCTCCAGTAAGTTATTGTATTGTATATTTTATTTTTATTTTATTTATTTTTTTTATTGTTTTACTCATTCTTCGCTTTATTATTATTTTATTTATTTGCCACAATTCTCAATTCCGGTAGCCCCATTTTACTAATAGTCTATTTAATAATAGCTGATTACATAATACGGTCTTTAATAATAAGGCTGTTAATGAAGCAGACTATCAGTGAAACGGGGCTGGATATTTGTATTGAATTTCGCTCTTTAATTTATTCTGATACAGTAGTTTATTACAACTATTAGATACAAATTTAAAAAAAAATTTTTTTTTTAAAAATATTAGATAGATGTTGGAGCAAGTTGAAGCAGGTAATTTCGTTCAGGATTTGAAGATAGATGTTTTACAAGCAATCTTGTATATCATAAAGGGTTGGGGGGAGGTTTCGGCTAAAACCATACATAACTGCTGACATTATACAAAAATTCTCTTGTCTAGTGCAAATCTTTCAGATGATCTTCATGAAGCTGGTGATTCAAGGCTTGAAAATCTTATTAGGTCACTAAATACTCTCTGTCTTCCAAATGCAATGGAAACTGATGAATTCTTAAATTTTAATGGTGAGGAGATTGTTTACGAAGTTTTCCCGGAGGATCAAATCATTAAGGAGCTAGCTTATATGTTCAGAAATGATGAAAGTATTGAAGTTATGGATGAAGGAAATATTGAGGTAATGGATAAAGAGGAAGATGATAGTGTGGAACCTGCAGTTGTTAGTGGTAGTTCGGCATTGAATAGCTTGAAAAATGTTCGGATGTTTTTACTTCAGCAGGAAGGCTTGGATGATCAATTAAAATCAATTAATTTTCTTGAGAAATTTATTAGAAAAATGATGTCAAGTTCTGCTCAGCAAACTTGCATAGATGAATATTTTAAGACATAAGAATTGAGTGGATTCTTTTTAATAAATTGGAGAAATAGGTAAAGAAAATCTTCTCTATTTTCTACAACTTAATGTATGCGAAAAATTGATGGTAATTATAAACAACTCACAGTGTCACAACGATATTATGGGCCGGCAGGTTATTTATGAAAATTAAATAACATTTGGTATTTTTTTATTAAATTTACATTTTTTCTTTTTTTTTAAAAAAAAAAATATTTAAGTATTGTTTTTTTAAAAAAAAATTCTTTAAAATTTTTTTTTCAATTTTAAATATATAAAAAATTTGATTTTATTATGCTATACAGTATTAAAGAAATTATGCAATGAAATACATGAATTTATTCCATATTTTTCACGCAAGTCGCATAAATAATTTGTGCATTCAGCAGATAAATGTTTTAAAAATTTTATAAATTTCATATGCATATGCTCCTGATTTTAGAATTTCAAAACGTAAAAGAAATTTTTTAAACTCACATTTATTTTCGAAATAAGTTACAGCTGTTTTTATCTGGGATACCCGAAAAAAATTAGTCGAATAAAAATTCAAAAATTTTTTTATTACTGTAAATATATATATATGGTACAGTTGTGATGCAAGATATTTTTTGATTATGTTTATGATTCGGCATGATCAGTATATTTTTATATGTATTATATATCATATTTCTGAAATTATGCACATACAGTAAAATATAAAGTATCAATTTATAAAATTTTTATGCCGAAATCACAAAATTAATCAAATCGGCTGAAAATCATTCTGCTAAATTTTTCAAGTGTCCCGGGATTTGTGAAAACAGCGAAATCTCTAATTATTTTAATTAGCATGCCAATAAGCGGGTTTCAATATTAAATTAAAAATTATTTTGATTGGATGATCATAAATTTGTGTAACATAACCCGTAATTCCCTAAGTGCACACCCTCTCTAAGTACACGTTTATGGTCGGTCCCCGGGGCGTGCACTTAGAGAGGTCTGACTGTACTTGCAACAATTTCAATAATATAATAGGCTATAGAGAAATAATCAATGAAAACCAAGAAATATATTATAACACCTGCTTTATGTGTAGAAATTTAGAATTTATAGCTCATTCACTAATTAATCACCTTAACCTACCAATCTGACATATAATCCAAATAGCACTATTTAGATACCACCCAGCAAAAGGATATCAAATAGCATTATTACAAAGAATAAACACATTGAAAGTATTTTTTGAAAATTATCAAGGAATGGGAGGAAAGGGCGAATTAGACGAACTAGGAAGACCCTGTAAAACAGAAGAAGTCACAGCAATACAAGAAGCATTAGAAGAATCAAATATACTCCTAGAAAAATCACAATTAATTAAAGTATGGACTGAGTTTAAAATAAGCTTACAAGAATGGGTAGCAGAAAAATACTGCCCACCAGACAAAGCAAATTACAAAATACGATGAACAGTATTTATTTATCCTGTAAATATCTGGACAAAACTGAAGCAAACTAAACCAGAAAATGCATCAGAATGGAAATGGTATACTTATGACGAAGTAATACAGTTACCATTGATACCAATGATTAAACAACCACTAGATTATATTTTTAATGAAATACACAGATACTATGAAAACTGCGAAGACTATAGCGATCTAGAACAAGCATATACTAATAGTAACCAAGCAAAATATTGTTTTGAAGAAATAGAAAGCCTTGTAGACGAAGAAGAAATTAAAGAAAATATACCCGCAATGACAAATCAAGAATACTTGGCGCACCCAAAACAAGTAGAAACCACATCACGAAAAGAAATACTCCAATTTGAAAAATATAAAAAATTACTAGAATATGAAAAAAACCAGATACAAAGTAAAATTAACCGAATCAACAAAATATTAAATGGGCATTATAGTTATAAATACCTAGCAATATTCAAACCACAAGACCAAATGCTCATATCAAAGAAACTAAAAGGAAACCCAACATTAAAGAAAATTAGCGATTACGGACTAATGGAACTACTCCGAAACCAAGAATTCGTATTTTCAGTAGAGCACGATTTACGTGACCCAACTCTGAAACGATTAAAACTAAGAAAACCCAAACTTGGACAATGTTACGATTTACAGACACAATCAATCGTAACAATAGAGCAAATATTTACCGAACATCCAAATACACCACTTATATAACTTATTTGGATAGATTAACCCAAACAAGGAAATTACCGGCAATGTTTGATCCGGACATGTAAATCGATGTGTAAGCCCATATAGTTATATGATTTGATGAAACAGCTATCGAGAACTGATTTTTCAGAATAGATTTCTGTAAATTTTTAGTGAGAACCTGATTTTTTATAAATTATTTAATCCGGCTGATAATAAAAAAATTGGCTAATCCCAGTTGACTTTTTTTTTTTTTTTTAAAAAAAAAAAACGATCTTATAAAGAAAGCTATTCAATTTTAATCATAAACTTCGGTCAAAAAATTTTATTGGCCAAGATCACTACTGTGAACGTTTAAGGTTAACGTTAACTACTGAACTAACATTTATTTTAGTCAAACTTGACTTTAAGCACCGATACAAGTGTATCATTAAATTAGATAAATTAATCACAGTATGAATGGTTATTTTAAACTTGCATATAAATCAATCAATCTTTTATCTGATCAAGTCAATAAATGGACTACAATACTTTAATATCCAATTGTGTCATTTTTTTTTTTTTTTATACGTTTCCGGAATTTTTCCTGCTTAACTGTGATAATCATAAAAGAACTTAAATTATATATTGTTTTAAATTCGGATTTAATCAGACACCAGTACGACTGTTCATAAATATTATAGTAGTTACAGTAATCATTACTGTATTATGCCTAAATCAACTTATTGCTTCGCAGCATTAGACGAAGTCAAAAAATCACGTGAGTCTAAAACCATTACCATTATTGAAACATATTACCTGATTCGTAATATGAAAAAGAAACTAGAGCTTCGTCTTATTCTTCAGAAGAAATTCGAAAATTATTGCTTAGTATATATTATACAGTTACATTATCAGTTATACTAATCTAGCCTTAATTATAATGCAAACAGGTTTCTAAGGTGTCGAATGTCGAACAATCTTAAAACACAAAATTTTATCAATTCAATTGAATTATTTAAAGTAAGCTATTATTCACGGAATATACTCGCTATAAATATTGATCGAGGTATTTTAAAATCACTTATTCAACTTTATTTAACATTAAATTTATTTTATTCACATTAATATTAATTAAATATACAAGATTTAAAAATAGAAAAATCAATATATATACTTTATCTTTTTTGTATTTCTTTTTTTTTTTTTTTTATACATATCATACATATCAGATATATTATTTTTTAAATTATTTTTTATTATATATGCTATCATAGATAAAACCTGATTCATGAAAAGTCCGATAGTAAGCTGATGTCTTGGTAGGACATTTTATCAAATAGGACTTTCTTTCAAAACCTAATTTTCCAATAATAACTCTAACAGTGGCTTGATGTGAGTATTGATAACGATATGCGATGACTCATTGATATAGGTACTGCGGCACATTTTTGGAACTGGGTCAGAATTTAAGTACCCCAAATTACAATTAAATGCATTTAAATTACAGTATATTATATATTAACATATGACATTTATCAAATAAAAACCCCAAAACCCCAAAACCAATAAAACTATCGTCAAAACATCTACTCCCACTGTAAAATACTGTTAAACTTATTGATATAAAAAGTGATTAACTTAGACTTAGACTAATAAATTTCATCATACACTATAAATACAATAGGGTATCGTTGAAAATTGTGGCAATGGTAATCGAAGACGTTTTTTCACTTAACTCAAAAAAGAAAGAACTCGAAAGAATCGCCATGTATGATAAACGGATTTCTCAACGAAAAAATTATTTGAAACAAATACCTCAAAAAGGAAAAATTACTAAAATACCTTTAAGACGAAATTGTAAGTATTATAAGCCTCATATTAACCTCATATTAATATATATTTCTGAATATACGTCTTTTTTTTTTAATAGTTTGCCGTAAAGGTTATAAACGTACGCAACAGAATGTCGTAGAACATCAATCTAAAAGTGAGCATACACAAGTTGTTGAACGTCAATCTGAGAATGAGCAACTGGTCTTCGAATATCAATCTGATTGGAGTGAGTTAGATACAGGATCTGATTACGATGATGATATTTATTGGGAATATTATGATTAAACCATTTTTTTTTTCTATATATGGTTCTTAAATATATAGTTTATAAATTTTTTTTTACGTGCGTTTACGATATATTTACGTGTTTACTATTTGGTAATCCAGCATTTTTACAATCGCATTAAGTATCTTTTGAACATATGTATATAAAAAAAGCAATATTAGTAAGTCCTATTAGATTTTGTTGTTCTTGGATGTATGTTTATACTAAAAAAATTTTTCAATTATTTCATTAATTGAATTTGATCAATATAAATTTAGCGTTGGTGGTATGTGATTTATAATTTGTGATCGCCCGTTGCACAGATCTTAATTATAATTCAATAAAATTTTAAGGTTAGCGTTAGATTAGTAGAAAAACTTTCTTAAAAACACTGTTAAACTTGTGTTAAAAAATGATTCGCACTTTACACCTGATCATATATTGTAATTTTATTGGATAAACAGAGGTCACCAGTTCTATCAGCTATAGTATTTTATATATGTGGTTATCTAGCGTGTGACAGTCAACCAATCAATTACTCTATTTAAAGTTTAAATATTTTACGATAGTGAAATCCGCTATGCAGATCACATGAGGTAACACATAAAAAACACTATGCTAACGCGGATTCCTAGCCCTATGATCTAACCTACAAGTACAAAAAAATAAATAATAATAAAATTAAAATTAATGTTACAACAGTATCAAAAACTTTTTATTTTAGAGTATCGATCAATATAAGTAGATTTTAATAGGTATTATGAAAACTCCAAATTCAAGTCAATAGAAGTTAGTTGTTACTCCAATGCTAACGAATATATTATCGTAGATGATACTAAGATTAACTAAGAACCTATTTTTATAATTTTTTAGGACGCTATTTTTTTTTTTTATAGTTAGATTAGAATAATTTAAGATTAGTTATTAATGAGTACAGGTAGATTTTAGATCTAGCTTTAGCGTTAAAGATTCCAATCTCTGCGCTAGGGTGTTTTTAATCACAAAATCAGATAGTAAAAATCAATAATAAGGATCTTTTTGCCGACTATTTTTAATAGTAAAATTTTAAACTTATAAACTGCTAAATTTATGTATGTAAAATTATACTTATTAAATTCCTTTTTAGTGTATTCTTTAAAGGAATATAACTCTTTTGATTATTAGAATAAATTAGGTTTTACCAAATGGTTTTCTTTTAACTTATATGAAAGAAACTCCATTACTTTAAAGAGCACATTACTGTATAACCGCGAAATAACGCACAGAGCGTTGTTTTTAATTTTGGCCCGAATTAAGCTTAACTTAGGCCGAAAAATTGAAATTACACCCTTGGCGTTATTTCGTGGTTATACGGTAACATTTAAATTTATATTAAAGAAAAATATCCTTATTATTGATTTTTACCATGTCTGTGACTAAACTAATTGGTAACACCTTAATCAGCCGTGACATTTATTAAGTTTGGTTATTTAATCCATTCCATTTTGATATTAATATATCTAGGTATAGGAAACCGATAATTCAATGATGCTCTTGAAGGAAGAAAGAATGTCTACGTACAATTAGAACGGAACACAAAAATCATATGCCTCTGGAAACAACTTTACACAAGAAATCCCAAATGTCAATCGAAATTCAAAAGCCACTAGTTCAAATGGTGCTTTTAACCATTACCTGGAAAGAAAAAGGACATCAATTAATTAAATGTATCTATAATCAAAAACGAAAACAAGACAAAATCTGGAAAAAAAAAAAAATCCAAGGAGAAAAGAAAAAATCTGACAAAAAAAAGAAGCGTCACATTAGCGTTAGTCATATACTAGAACAGAAAAGAAAATATACCCAAAGGTTTCCAATGGCAATCAATCGAAATTTAAAAGCCACTAAGTCGAATACTAGAACATAAAAACAGATATACTTAGCCTGATGACAAAGAATAAAAAGATATTTTCTTTAGCATAAACTATGCAAAAATTATTACGTTAAAATATTGATTTTAGTTTTTATAATACAAAATTAATTTAATTAAGTTTACATCACTAGTCACGTCACGGCTGATTCATTTATCAATTACGATAGAGAATGGAGTTATCGATTTTTATTAAAGATTTTACTTTTCTAAAAACTATTAGGCACTTTTACTCAAGTTTTATTTTGAACGTGAAAAGCTTTCGTTTTTATAATTGTTTCATTTAATTCACTTATTATATACATGTCCAATACACTATTAAACCTAGCTTATCGCTTTTATTAAAGACTCATAAAATTATTCTTTTATTAGAATATTGAAAGATCTGAAGGTCCCAGATTTTCTGTAGCAAATTTTTTTTTAAAAAAAAACCCGAATGGATGCTATGGTGACGAGGTACATATAATTTCTAAAAATTTTGTTAAATTTTTAAGTACTTTTTCATATTCTCCCATAACCAAATAAGCTTTTCGCGAAGTCTTACCGTGGCTGATTATTTCGCGTTGGTGTTGGAAACACCGCGTCTTTCTTGATCCATTTCTGGAGAGTTTTCATCTACGAATAATCTTGAGAAGCGAGAAGTGATATCACCGACATTGTCGGGAGTGGTGGTAGTATCTACGAATAATCTTGAGAGGCGAGAAGTGACATCATCTACATCAGACGTGGTTGTAGTATTAGCTGGGACGGAAGATCTAGCATTATTGATACGGTTGCATATTTCTAAAGTTTAAATATTTTACGATAGTGAAATCCGCTATGCAGATCACATGAGGTAACACATAAAAAACACTATGCTAA